TTTTTTTTTCCTTCCCGTGAGAGTACCATAAAGAAATGGAGTGGGACCCAGAGCAAAACTCGGAGCGCAGTGAAAATCAGGGTCGGCAAAAACAGGCTCGGAGGTACTGATAGTTTAAGGGATAAAAAAAAAAAAAAGACGGCAGGTGAGGAGGGAGGAGAAGGCAAGAAGCAAAGAGGTAAAGGGATCACGAAAGGGAAAGCGGTAAAAAAAAAAAAAAAAAAAAAAAGTAAGAGGTTGAAGAGGACGGGGAAGGAGAAGCCCACCCCCCATCACCCCCCTCCCCTTCTCTCAAGAGTCTCTCAAAGAATGAAAATTGGACAATATGGGGAAATTCAGTGTTGAAGACACCCTAATGAACGAAAGACCCTGGCTCCTTTAAGATGATAGCTGCAAGGGAGTGGGTTCTGACTATAGGAGTTGACAAGTTAGTGCACAAGGCAAAGTTTGTTGACCCCGCAGGCCCGTTGCAGGGGGCTGCCCCCCATGAGGAGGGTCAAAACCAACTGAAATGTGTAGCAAAGGTTCATTTTTAAAGGAAAAAAGGGCGATATATCTTGATCGTGTACAAACGCGGTTAGCCTCGTCGAAGGACTCTGACTCCCCCCCCCAAATGGTAGAACAAGTGTTGCGAAGGAAATCAAGCATGTAGTGGTAAAGGGGGTCGCTATCGAGGCGACATACTCAAAGTCGTTGGTTTTGAAAAATCACAATCATTATGAGGACAGGGATATCAATCAAGACCTTCAGAACGTGGTAAAATACCATACTAGTGAGTTGGACACCCCTACGAAGGGCAAAAGACATTTTTCGGGACATTGACTTCACGGTCGCAGGCCTCTTTGAAGAAGGTACCATTCTCTTGAAGGGAAGGAATCAGAGGTAGTCACTGGTGATGTGCACTTCAAGTAAGAAAGCACGCTCAAACAGTAATGTGTCACTCCTGCCGGTTCATGAGCAATATCTAGGGGAACCTTTGGGTATGATTTTAGCTGAGAAGCCCTCTTAGACTACTAAAAAGAGAGGGCACCGAACGAGATCGGTCAAGAAGACGATGTTATTAGCTAAGTTGATGGTAACTCTAACTAAATCAGACAGACAAACTGGAAGGATGCATGAGTTCTTAGTACTGCTAATTGTTTATAATTTGGTGCAGGAGCAATGTGCTCACAAAGTTAAATAAAGATG